CCCTCTGGTAAATATATGTAATGTAATGTAAATGGTGTATGAACCACTACTTGCAACCACGTGGTTGCAAGTAAAGGACAGAAAGTAGTATGGATATAATAATGTCTTTGACCTCATTATTCTTGCTTTATAAACCATAGACTAAAATAGTATCTATGGTATTTTCTTTCTAGGTTAAAAAGTAATAAAACGCGCGGTATAATTTGTGGTAAAACGCGTAACCTAGTGACATGAATAATTGATTTAATTACATGGGTAATCGGTATATTCATTTTAATTGTGAAATTGCTATATGTAACATGTTGATAATGTGAATTAATATGGCCATCATACATAAAATATGTTTAACTTATATTACAAAAATTATGCCACTTATATTAATTTGCAGTTGTCTTTTTTTTGTGACTTTAACACGACCTTATACGGTTGTTTCATTTTGTGTGTATACGTACTATGAACAAAAAGATAAAATGCTGGGCTACCTTATACGACATGACAATTTTTAAATAGCATCCTAGAAGAAATACAGAGGGCAAAAGAAGAACGGGAAGTCCGAGTAATAACTACATGAGACATAAAGAAAACACTAGATGTCATGTCGTATAGGGAGATCAACGTTATAGCTTAGAATAGAACTGGCTGGAAGAAAATGCATGAATTAGTTGCACTGACAAGAGGAAACTTCAAAGAAAAGAAAGAGACGTACTATCTGTACATTGGATATTGTATATATATTCGAAAATTTTTGAACTTATTGTTATATATTTTTTTTACCCAAAGTACATAAAATGATCTCATACTGTTGCAATCGTGACAGTGTAATCAATACAATATTATATAATTGTAAAGTTAGTTAATTTGACAACTATCCACAACATAATCTTAACGTAATTAAAAATATATTTTAAATATTTTTTTTTTTTATAACACAGGGGGCAAACGAGCATGCAGCTCACCTAATGGTAAGTGACTACCGCCATCCATGCTCACCCACAATACCAGAGGTGCATTGCAGGTATGCTGCTGGCTTTTTAAATAGAAATATACTCTTTTCTTCAAGGTTATGATGTCGTGTCGGTTTGGATATACTGCTGCTGGAAATTGATTCCAAAGAACCACTCTTTACGTGGAAGAAGGTGCCTTGAAAAACGCACGGTGTAAGACTGCCACTCATCTAGATGGATTGGATAGAACTTCAGTTTATTTATTTATTATTTAAATAATTAAAAAATTGGCCATTATGTTTACCAAGATCAATAACATTAATTAAATATTTTTATTAGAAAAACATCACCAAAGGAAATTGATTTATCTTTTTCTAACGCCCACTAACTTTACGTTATCACATTAAATTTGATCAAAGTTTTTATTACGTTACTTGTTAATTTATAATATTTGCCGTCCATTTATTATCAAGGGTACACAGATTTAATTTATTGACTTTATTTTTAGCCACACGAGAGTAAAGTTTTAGCTCGAAATTTATGAGTATTATTGGTTTTAATCCCAAATTGATACTCTTTCCAAAATATAGATTGTAATTTTATTCTTTATAATTTTTTTTCTTATATACTGAATTTTCATTTTAAAGAAACAACAGATGAGTTGTTCTTAGCTGGTCTCAGCTTAAATTGCATTCCAAATTGAGCGGTACATTAATAAAGAAATGACTATTCATAAATCTTTATAATTAAGTATACTTGAATATTTATAATATATTTTATTGAACTATAAGTGAATGAAATTACATTTGTATGAATAAACATTTTTATTTATTTAAATGCTGAAGGGAATATACTTTTGATATGGATTTGACAGGTGTGCAGAAGATTCTTAGTGATGAGAGCCTGAGAGCTTTATTGCTAGCAATATACATGTTACCACAGGGAGACTTTGTATAAAAGTCGATTGCTTGGGTACCTCTGTCCCATTCGTGTTTCAACCGTGACGCAGCTGTGTTTGCATGGCTGTGTTTCGGTTTGAAGGGTGGGATATGGCGTGAATTTACTGGGTACAGAGAAATAACACCTGAGTCCTCAGGAATGGCAACGCATGGGGGGGTATCATGGGCGAAACAGAATACTCTGTTATGTCCATGGTACTGCACATATCTATAGGCGACGGTTACCACTTACCATCAGGTGGGCCGTCAGCTTGTTTGCCATTCTAAGTTGTATAAAAAAAATGTTAGGTCAACCTCCATCTGCAACTGCAACCATTCAAGTTAATTTTTAGTAAAATCGTCAAGTTTATAAATACTCCTTTCCATTCAAAGGTTGCTTGGAAGAAATCGCTATCTTAATAAGTTTACTATTGTAATCTTTTGAAGGAAACAATATATAATATATATCTATCTATCGATTTATACTAAGATTAAAGCAGGATTATCATTCATTAAAACATAGATTAGTCCTATAATTATTGGTCCTATAATAATTTTATAGTTGTATCGCACCAATCAAAGTGAATTAAAGGTATGTATGTATGTATGGAGAATTTTTTAACGACAGCTACACGAGCTTATATCGCTGACGCTAATTATATCTGTTTCCCCACATATGGAACTTGGAATATTAAACATGTTGACGGATTATTCTAATGGAAAATGGTGATTGCCCCTGTAGATATGAACATCACCACGGACATTTTTTTTTTATATAACTGAGAATGGGCAAACAAGCTGATGGCCCATTTGATAGAAAGTAGTTACCAATCGCCAATGCGCAAATAGCACTACGAACATTGCAAAATGCATAGCAATGCTCACAGTGCCCTTATGCGTTGCTATTACTGAAGGTTAAGATATTATGTCTTTATATCATGTAATTTTACTACCATATCACACCCTTCAAACCGAAACACAATCATGGGATACTATAGTCATGCTTTGCCATTTCTGAGAGTTCAAATATTATCTAACCACTTACCATCAGGTGGGCCGTATGCTTGTTTGCCACCTCAGTGGTATAAAAAAATATCTTCTTATCCAGGAAATTTTCAACTAATCCACTTATTTCTCTCTTCCTATTATTCTAAGATATCAAAGTCGAATGTAAAAAGGCATGTCTACAGATGGTCAAGATGATAATTTTCATCACAGCAGAGTTCTTTATATTTGAACTACATTATCCGCTTATTAGATGGTTGGGTATAGTTACTTAAATTAACTATTAAAATATATATAAAAGTTATCTAGTCAAATCATATTAGGCGCATAACAAAAGATAACATTAAAATTATACTGTTACAGATATTATTGGAGAAAAGAAGGTATTGTTAATAATGCAGACTACCAGTCCCATTACTAACAGTATATATGTATACCCTGTCAGATCGACGTCCACATGGACCCCTCTGGAAACTGTAATACTGAATTCCACGTGTATTCATCACGATAACCTAATTGACTTGTGTATCAAAAGGTGTTTGATTCTCACCTATCATTCCTCACTGATACCCCGCCAGTGTATACCGTTAGCGCAGGCGTAATCACTATTCTATTATTATCCATAAAAAAATTTGTTACAAATATTTATTTGAATTTAGTACGGAGACCGTTTTGACATTTTTTTTCAACAAAAATGTGTCCTATTTTATTGAATCAGAACGAAACTATTACATTATTATATATCTATTATATTATTAGTCCAAAATTTCATTTAGATTATTTATTACCACATGTTTATTAAATTAAGCTTTTAATAAATGGATAAAGAAAAAAAGAATATTTTCTTGCTTAAACAAAAAGTCGAACCAACGTTGGTGTCAAAAACCGGAAGTGTCTCATTCTCTTAAATCTGTTGCACCAATTCCAAGACCCTACCGATGGTGTCCAGTGACCATAGCGATGATAATTATCAAGTGTTTTTATTTTTACTTAGCCGTTCATTATCATAACAGAGTGGAAGCGGCGTAGCGTAGCGTGCGCGGACGCATCATAGTGATGGGATCGCACGATAGACTGGACTTCCGTGTTTAATTTTCACAATTCTACTTAGTATTGATTAATTATTTTATTTATATCAGGGATATATATTATATTAGTAATAATATCTATATTTATAGCTAAGTATGTCACAGATTAATAAATACGAATGTATATTTTATTATGAATACATAATAAAATATAAATTTAAACTTCATACAAATTTTATAGACCTCTTTTATAGTAAAGGGAGCAAGTTAGCATACAGTTCACCTAATGATAAATACCTACCGCCGCCTATAAGCACCCGTAACACCAGAAGAATCACAGGTGTCCTACCGGCCTTTTAAGAAAGAATATGCTCTTTTCTTGGCCTTAATTAATTTCTTTTATTATCTCGCAAAATTGTATTTTATGCGAAAGTCGTTGTATTGCAAAGTTTTTTTTTATTATTATTTTTTATATTGCTTTATTGTTTTATAAATATTTTACTGAACAAAGTATTATTTTGCAGAAGTCCATATCAATTATTATTTGATTAGAATTATTTTGTTTATTTCTGCTACCATTAGTATGTGTGTGACTACTAACACTTGAAAATTTACCACCACTATTATTACCAGAAGTTCCACAAACATTTCGTTCACGCAGATTTTGCGATACGTGTTTCACCTCTAAACCAAACACCTTTACTCAAATTATTAAATCGCTGCTCGGAAAGTAGTGGTAACCGTTCAACAACTATGTGTATGCCGAACGCAAAACGTGCGTGAATTTAATGACAGTCGATTTCAAATACGTAATGAACAGGTAACCACATTTTGTTAGAATAAATACAGAAACATGCTCTTCAATTTATTTTTTATTTGTATTAGTGTTGAGTGACTTACGGTTGGGACGATTATTTGTGTCTTTACATTTTCATTGGGTTGAAACAAACTATACACTATTATTCAATATGTATTACATTCATAGATCAATAAATTTATACAGTATAATAATATCGATTATCGATGATCACAAATGACACATCACTTCACTCTCTAACTCGCCTTCCTTGACAGCGATCAGTGTTACGTGCCGAGCGCATGCGCGCGATCGTCTATTTCAGTGGGTTTACAGTTGTTATAAAATTATATTTATATGGCAGTGGTGATAAAACCGTGTAGTGACTTCCATTGTAACAGGAATAGAGGCTGTTCGAGGTCCACGCAACATGGCTGGGTAATATTCCTTATTATAATCCTGTAAAATTGAAATGACCTTGTTATACATCGAAGACTACAATGTCTATTTAATATAACTTATACAATTGTCGTGTATAACAAGTTAACATATAAATGGGAATTGTATCCTTCCAATACATAATTCAAGTACCGAGTGTCGGATTTTTATATAACCGAACTCATACGGACTCGATAGCCCAGTGGTCGGCGCGTTGTTTTGAGTACACGAGGTTTTGGTTTCAGTTCTCAATGAAATCAACTTAAGAACTATTGTATATTGCCTCGTATCCAAACTACTTGAGTGTTAATATAAACTAAGAACGTTGTTTTGGGTTCGACTTTTGCTTTAGGAAAATGCAATTAAATCTTAAAATCACATTATATTACAACTTTACTCATACGACTTGGGACTAAAAATATATTGCTCAAGGATAACATCGACTTCTGTACTAAATTTCATTGTAATTCGTTCGACTGTTTGAGCGTGATTAAAAACAAAACAAACAAAACTTCCATACTAGTAGTAGAACTGATCCAACCCCTTAACATTGTACTCTACCCCTTAAATAATACACTATACGCCCAATATAACAGGCAATCCGCTACCCGTATCAAATATCGAGAATGCCTAAATAAACGCACATCTAACTTAAAAAATAAAACTATATTACTTTTTATCCATACTAATTATTTTAACATTTAACTTTCCTTATTTTTTTTATACCACAAACATAGTAAATAAAGCATACAGCCCGTCTGATGGTAAACCATCACAGTAGCCTATGGACGCCCGCAACACTAAGGGTGTTACGTGCGCTTTGCTTACCCTGAATGTACCTTATTATATTCATTTTGAAGAATAGAAAAAGAAGAAGTATTTGACAGGACGGAAAGGGAATAACCTTTATACTTCATCTGCATTTATATCTTGTTTACACGCCCTTTCTGGAGGCTTTCAACTTATCCATATTTGAGGGAAGATTCAAAATTATGTTTTTGTTAATTGATAATTAATCAATTGATAATATTTCACTATAAAATCTAACGTTATTAGTTAAAATTCTCAAGTAGGTGTATATATTATTGCACGTGATTTTATAGAGCAATACCTGATGGTATGCTGTTATTTAAACTAAAGGCTTGATTTATGAAATAATAATACACAAAAAATTTTCCACGTTCATATTTTTATGAACGTGCACTATCTGCAGGAGGAGTTAAGAGTCTCCGTAACCGTCACGTATTACCAGAGGAGAGGGGATTGTTAGTAATGGGGACTAGCAGCCCCATATTTATATTGTCAGGTCAAACTTCGCGGTTGTCTCTGAAAAACGCAGTCGTTAATTTCTGGTGCATTCATCAGGATAGGGCTACTAACCTATCTTCACGTTTACTTACCATTCCTCTTTGCTACCTTATCAGCTTTAACCATTTTTAGGCGGTATTACTACTTCTTTTCTATGGTATTATATGGTATGGTGCGCCGCCAGCATATAGCGTTAGCACAGATGGGGTTACTATTCCATTATCTTTTTTGATAATAAAAAAAACTTCCTTTTTATCCATTAAAAAATCTGCATATGTGCATAATAAGAGTTATATAAGTCGACAAATAATTTGTGTAAATTGCTTTGTTACACAATCCTGTCTACCCCATAAAGGTTCTGGCGTGAAGATATTACATATATACTAAAATTAAACAGATAAATGTTATTGATTATGTAACGTCAAATTAAGTTATACTCAAGCAGCATATAGAATGGCAATTTAACGGCCATTAGCGACATATATTTTACTCATAATAAATTTATGGGGGCAAATAAATTATGCATTTTGTATTATTAAACACTGATAATAATATATTATTTAGAAGTATTTATTATTAGAAGAATTTATTCATTATTATTTTATTATGAAGAATTGAAGTTGACAGTTGAAAATAAAGTTCTGACTGTAGTGGTGTAGCGATTTAAAATACTGCCTCATTTTCTGATAGTTACAGGTTCAATACTTGCACGATACAAACATTTATATTCATGGGTATATTTGTTTTTAATGATCTGGGTGTTTATATGTATAATATGTATATACTTACAAAATTTCAAATATGTATCTAAGTATGTATATTAGTTATCAAAAAGCAAAATAACCGACATAAGCCCGAAGAAAAAGTAAGCTGAAGTGGCAATGAGCTGGTCAAATAGCTCGAAGCATCGACAACTGATAGGAAATAAAGGTTCTTGAATGGCGACTCCGTACGAGCAAACAAAGACGCCCCCCCCCCCCTCACTAGATGAAGTGACGACCTCAAATGCATTTTTTTTTATGAATGAAAATGGTATGGTAACTCCGTCTGCGCTAATGTGATACGCTGGCGGAGCACCAGTGCAGGGTGATAGATGAGAATGAAAACAGATCAGTTAGGCCATCATGATAAATTCATCAGGAATTAACCATGATAGTTTCCAGGGGGAACCGAGTGGAGGTCGATCTGGTTGGGTATATTGCTAGCAATGGGATTCTTAATCTCCATTACTAACAATCCCTTTCCCTCCTCAAATGCATTGCAGGGAGTCAGCAAATGCATGGCTTAGGACCATCCCTTATAGCAGTCTATGGGGGAGGCCTATGTTTAGCAGTGAACAGATAATGGCGGAGATGATGATGATAGCAAATAGCAGTATCCCATCCTGTACTAATTTTGGATCTAGACTATTTACTATTCATTAATTTGACAGGACAAGTAGCACTTGCGTTGAGCTATAAATATTATGTAAATGATTTGGAATACATCATTAATTTTATACCGTCTACGTAATGTCTTTAGCTTGAATAACTGACACGTAAATTTCTTGAGTAACTATGTCATACAGAGAAACGTAGTGTAGGAAGAAATCTCACTAGATGAAACGACGACCTGAAGTATATTGCAGAAACCTAGAAGACAATTGATACAGGTGGCGCATACATTTTCATAAAGAATGGTCCAAATTATAAAAACACCTTATATAGAGAGGTACATTTGATATGATTACAATGACAGTATTAGAACTTAGTTAACCAATGTAACAGAAATAATTTAAGCCTAAAGATATTGCTGATTTCCAACTATATTCATTAATTAACATTATGTAATGCAATGACATAAATGCTCCATTGTTTTACTGCGAATATTAACTTTAGTATTAACAAGATATTGGTGATGACGCATATTGGTTGGGACAATTTTTTTTTATACAACTTAAATTGGCAAACAAGCTGACGGCCCACCTGATGGAAAGTGGTAACCGTCGCCTATAGACATGAGCAGTACCATGGACATAACAGAGTATACTATTTCACACATGATACCCCCCATGCGTTGGTATTCCTGAGGACTCAGGTGTTATTCCTCTGTACCCAGTAAATTCAGGGTGGGAACCCTTCAAACCGAAACACAGCTATGCAAACACAACTGCTTCACGGTTGAAACACGAATGGGACAGAGGTACCCAAGCAATCGACTTTTGTACAAAGTCTCCCTCTACAATACAATATCATTGACAAATTAGTTACTCGTAATATTTAATACAAAGGTCGTCAGTTGAACATTTGTTATTGAAGTATTGAACTTATTGTACTAAATAGAGGGTATTTTACAACTACCGTTTCAACAACTTACTAGTCCCACCTGGTCACAATACTAGGCAATAGTCTTTCAACGCTAAATAAAAATATTTGCAATACGACTTTTAAGATTAAGCCTTTTTAAAAGGCCGGCAATGCATTGGAGACTCCTCTGTTGTCGTCAGCATCTATGGGCTGCGGTAGTAAAGAAATGCCACTTGCCATCAGATGGACGACAACTCAGGTTATGGAATGAGCCCTGCCGAGGTTTTCCCAAGAGACTACAGCATGGGGTTCTTCAAAAGGGGGGTAAAGAGGTTTCTTCAAGATCAGCAACGCGCGCGTAATACCTCTGGTATTGCAGGCGTTCATAGGCTACGGTAACCGCTTACCATCAGGTGGGCCGTATGCTTGCTTGCCACCTCAGTGGTATAAAAAAAAAGATGAATCGCATGCTCGCATTATTTGTCGTTTTTTCAATTAAAAAAAAAAATGTTATTCGAGTTTTTCTATTATATACTGATGTATTTTGCTTTATTAACAATATCATATTATGATATTCTAAAACAAAAAACGAGTGGTGGCATTCTTATACCATAACTATAAGAAAAACAAATTTCTGAAGTATATTGTTTCCCTCTTTTTTTATCAATAAAGGATTCTACAGTTGAGTTTGATACGATCTGATTAAAAATAATGTTAAATGGCTGTGTTTCGGTTTGAAAGGAGGGGTATGGCAATGAATTTACAGGATACAGAGGAATAATACCTGAGTCCTCAGGAATGGCAACGCATGGGGGGTATCATGGGCGAAACAGTTATACTCTGTTAAGTCCATGGTACTGCTTATGTTTATAGGCGACGGCTACCACTTTCCATCAGGTCGGCCGTCAGCTTGTTTGCTATTTTAACTTGCATAAAAAAATTCAGAGAAGAAGTTTGCTGGCCCATGAATAGTTTAAAATGTTTAGATTACGTATTTGGAATGGCAATATAGATAATATAAAATTTTGCTCAATAATAAATAGTCACAAGGTTTCAGCAAGGCTGTGTGGTCCATGCTCTTCGCCTGTCCAATTTTGGACGAATTTAAGTATTTAATTTAATAAAAGTTTAAAAGTAGAATTGTCGGAGTTGTAAAACACTTCATACCAAATGATTATCCAATTTCACTATTAAGTCTATGTAACCATTGTTCTTCAAACTGTAATTTTGCTTCAATGAATGATTCCAAGGTCATTCCCACTGAGCTATAGTAAAGATACGCTGTAAGATTATAAAATACTTGTACGGAAACAAATTATACTTGAATTCTAATCGATTTTTTTTTACGTAACTAATACTTTATGCTTCGTTTGTTTCGCTTGGTTACCTGGTAATATCAGTGAAATT